TGCTTATTGTCAGATCTGTGAAAAGATATGTACTGTTTTCAGTTATTAGATGAATATGTAAACATGTGAAAAACCTGAGAGTATCAGCAAAGACTGCTTTTGTGTGCATCCAAGGGAAAGAGATAAAGAAAATATTGTATTTCCAGTTGTGGAGGAGGACCCATGAACAAAAAACTGACCATGTATGATCCTATTTATCATGCTATTTATAAGATGTGGATTGGAAGAAGCATTTTTTGGGGGGAAAAAATTTATCCAACTAGCCTGTGTATATTTATATCTAGCAATGGAGTACTAAGTATATTCAATATGTTTGTGATGGTTTTTATTAGGGGGGCAGAGGGGGAAGAGATCAGCAAGAGCTGACAGATAATTTCATCTCACAAATATGACAAAGTATAATTTTACCTGCAGGTTCTTGGCTGCGATTTTTTCATCCTATATCTGGATGTCCCTCAGAGCAGCAGCCAGGTCTGAGGCTGAGCAGGAGACATCAGCACACACAGCAGCACTGAACATCTGTTTCATGAAATCTTCGTTTGCTTGTTTTGACACACACACACACAGAGGACATGGTAAATAAAGCTATCCTCCACACAGCTCCTGGAAAAGAAAGGTTCAAAAGCAATGTCAAGGGGAAAAAGCTCTGCCCTGTCTGCCCCCCTCCATGCCCTTGCCCAATAAAGCATCTCCCAGCTGGGCCTCCTGGGAGATGGAGCCGTAGAGGCATCCACCCGTGGTGATCAGCCTTCCTGCACTGTGGGTCCACATCAGCTGCAGACCTCCTGGCCTGGCAACAGGCATCCCCAGCACGCCCCAGTATAGAAGAATCTTTGCCTTTTTGCTCAAGGTGCAGGGCTGAGAATGGCCCGACCCTCCTGCAAAGCACTGGGAGCCCCCTGGGTGCCATTTGGCAGGGAGGATCTCCAGCATGGCAGGGTATCCCCTTGTAGGGCACCAGGAGGGTGGCTGAGCAGGACAATGTGTACCCCAAGGAGTCTTTGTTTCTCTCTGGTTTTGGGTCTGTGGAACAGGGAGAGTTTCCTTCTCCATAGTTCTGGTACTGGTGTGGTCTACTGCAGTGCTGTGAAATGGGGTCATGCAATGAGGTCTGTCCTAATGGGAAAAAGCCTGAGAGTGGAGCTGGCAAGAATCTGTGGTGCCAAGTGCTCCAATCCTGCAGTATTAGACAGCCCTCATGGTGCCAGGTACACGGCAAGCAGAGCTGTCTCCCATGCCCAGTGTGCAGTGCAGCAATATATTTATCATAGCTATGGTAAATCTGCCCAGTCCGTACTAATTATTTACTGCCATCCTGCAGTATAAAATCATAGAATTGTTGAGGTTGGAAAAGACCTTTGAGATCATCAAGTTAACCCAGAGCTGCCAAGTCCACCACTAAACTGTGGCCCCAAGTGCCACATCCCCAATATCTTCTAAGTACCTCCAGGGACAGCAAATCCACCACTTCCCTGGGAAGCCTGTTCCAACACTTGACAACCCTTTTGGTAAAGAAAGTTTATCTAAAACTTCCCTGCTGCGACTTGAGGCCATTTCCTCTTGTTCTATGTCTTATTTGTTGGGAGAAGAAACTGACACTACTTTGCTACAACCTCCTTTCAGGGAAGCTGTAGAGTGATACAGATAGAGTCTTCCCTGAGCCTGCTTGTGTCCTGGCTAAACAACTCCAGATCCCACAACTGTTCCTTGTAAGACTTGTGCTCTAGACCCTTCACCAGCTCCACTGCTCCTCTTTGGATAAGTTGCAGCACACCTGATGTGCACCCTCTCCAGTGCTGAGTACAAGGGGATCATCACTGCCCTGGTCCTGCTGATCACACTATTTCTGATATAGGCAAGGATGCCACCAGCCTTCTTGGCCACCTGAGCACACAGCTAGCTCATATTCATCCAGCTGTTGACTGTGCAGAAGCCCAAATCACCACCATGAGGTAACAAAACAGGTACTAAATCAGAGCAAGAAAAAGGCCGGGGTCAGGTAGAGAAAGATGGTGAAGAAAAGAAGAAGATGCTCGCTTGATGTGATAACCAGAAGCATGAGGTTTGCCGCTATTTTGGTTGCTCTAGTATGTTCAGTGAGGCGATGACACGCTTCTCTGTCATACAGCAGCTCTGTCTTTCTCTCTACTGATTTCTTGGTGCTGTGCTACACTGTGTGTGATGTGGCTGTCAGTGGCTGTGATCCAGGGCATTTGCTGGCAATTTGGTTCACCTCTTTGTGACATCGACACAGCAGAGTAAGTTCCTTTTCCCATACCCTGCAAAGTCTGGATATTTTTTGGAGAAAGGTGTCAGGTCAGAGAGGTCCCACAAACTCCCCACAAACCCAAGCTGTGGTTACCATTGTGTTTGCTTGCACTGAGAAGAGTATGCAAAATATTGTTTCTCTACCTCCCTCTTCCACATTCTTATGTGTAAACAGGGTCTCAAGCCTAGAGTCTCTCTGGCATGTCAGAACAGTGTCTCATTCTGGCAGCAAAAGCATTTAGAAACAGCACTGTCTCCATCCATCCTGGTTCCAGCCAGGACAGGGTTAATTTCTGCTGTAGCCAGCAGGGGCCAGGTCCAGGACCTAGAGGTTATTCTGTGCCACCTCATGTCATTTTCCAGGGAGAGGGCAGGAAAAAGGCTCGCCTGCAGGCTGGGATAGCACTGCAGAGGGAGCGGTTGGGCATTGATGGGGGTTTGCACAGGGTGAGCGACAACTTTGGTTTTCTTCTGCGTTCTGTCATTAGCACTGTTGCTGTTACTGTTAATTTCTTATCTCATTGCTGTTTCTAGTAAATTATTCTTCTCTCAGTCCACGATCTTTACCTTTTGTACCTCCAATTCCGCTCTCCAGCCACCCACAGGGGAGGAACAAGGGGATGGAGAAGTATGTGAGTCATGTGGGGTCTGGAGTTGTTGTGAACATGACATTTGAGAATAAATTTCTAAAGTGTGACACCATTTTACCCTGTGCATCTTCCCTCTGCTTCATAGTTCCTAAAGAGAGCCTGAATTTCCCTTTACCTTACCTCTTCCCAAGTTTTCAAGTGCGTGATACTGATATATCTCAATACGTGTGTTGGTACAACTCAGATCCCACTAAGAAGGCTGAGAGCCACCGCAGGAGACAGCTTGGAAAGAAAGTAGGCCCATGTACTTCCTGTTTATAGTTTAAATTTAGAGTTATTAAGTAGATACCTCCAGAGGCTCTCTCTGATAGGGAAAATTCCAGCACTGAGCAAGCTGAGCAGTGAAAACCTGGGAACAGGTAAGCTAAAGAGAAATTTAGGTGAGATGGAGACAGCACAAGACAAGTATGCTCTGCATCTTCCTGGCTGCTTACAATAAGGACCTTACTGGGAGAAGCAGCGGTTTTACACTGGCAGAGGGAAGGTTTGGACTGGCTGTATAGATGAAATTCTTTCCGTGTGAAGGTGGTGAGGTACTGGCAGAGGCTGCCCAGAGCAGCTGTGGCTGCCCCATCCCTGGCGTGTTCAGGGCCGTGTTGGACGGTGCGCTAAGCAACTTGGCCTAGTGGAAGGTGTCCCTGCGCATGGCGGGGACTGAACTGGGTGTTTTGGAAGGTGCCTCCCGGCCCATCCCGGCCCGTGTCCCGGTGGCAGCCAGCGGGGCTGCGGGGGCCGGCGGGGCGGGCGGAACCCGTGCGCGCGGGAACGGTTCCCAGTGCCGCGTGTTGCCGGCCGGCGGCGGCGGCGGCCGCCTCCTCCTTCCTGCTGCCGGCGCGGGGGCGGCGGCGCTGTGGCGGCGGGGCCGGGGCATCGCGGGCCCGGGCGCCTCCTCCCCGCTCCGCTCCTTCCCATGGCCGGGAACTTCTGGCAGAGCTCTCACTAGTGGGTGCCGCGGCCGCGGGGTGCGGGGCACGGGTGCTGCGGGCCGCCGCCGCGCTCTGTCCATTCATTGCCGGGCCGGGCGTGGGCACGGCGCTGAAGGGAGGCCCGGGGCGGCCGGGGGAGCGCCGGGCGGGCGGCGGGGCCTGCTCGCCGCGGGACCCTGGCGGGAGCCGGCCCCGCTCAGCCGCCGCTTGGGAAGCGATTGGGCGCTCCGGGACAGGGGTCGCGTCCCGGTGTCGGTGCCCGCGGTAGCCCGGGCTCCAGCGGCGGAGTACCGGAGCTTGGGTCCCTGGCATGGTTGTCCCCAGCGGTGGGGCAGCCGGGGCTCAGCTTGGGTTGGACATCAGGAAGTGTGATTGATACTGGAACGGACTGCCCAGGGAGGCGGTGGGGTCACCGTCCCCAGAGGAGTTTAAGGAAAGATCGTACGTGGCACTCTGTGCTGTGGTGTAGTGGACGGGGTGGTGTTCGGTGATGGTTGGACTCGATGATATCGGAGGTCTTTTCCAACCTAATTGATTCTGTGATTCTGCCCTGAAACACCTCATGCTGGGCGCGTCAAGGTTTGAATGGTGGCCCGTAGTGAAATGGCTGCGACATAAACCTTGTTAGTGACCGTCAGGGTCTAAGATCTGCCCAGCCAGCTCAGTTTGCTACTGGTAGAGGCTAATCTCAGCCCTTGGTAGTTCATGTTTTGTTGTTTGGTTTTTGGTTTTTTGATGTTTTTTTTCAGTTGTCTAACTTTTAAAAACCCTGAAGAACAGTTGCTTGAGAAGATTGTTTGTGGCTTTGTTAAAGGCCACAAGCCCTTTATCCACGAGCCTTAATTCATAGTCTGTACAGGAGACAGTATCATGTTGATAAAGAGTTGCTGAAATTATTTTCCATTCCCTTAGCTTACAATGGATTTTGGATAAACAAGATCTATTGAAAGAACGCCAGAAAGACTTGAAATTTCTGACTGAAGAAGAATATTGGAAGCTACAGATATTTTTTACTAATGGTAAAACTTCTTTTATTTCTACCATAAAATCTATGCAATATGTCCCATGTCTAAATAGAGGTTTGAATTGCTTAGAGAATGTAATGTTTTCACTGTGGTATTACATATACTTTCACAGCCTATTTTAACAAAGACGTGGAATATAAATAACATCATTATTTGTTAGTTGTACTAGCACAATTCTAGGAGACCTTGCAGGCTAAATAGCTGCATGCATTTTAACCTGTGATAGGACAAAACAGTAAATTTTAAGAGGTTCTTACCAAAACATAAAAGGAAGAGAAACAAGCAGAAACTGCTAAGCTAGTGTATTAAAGACTCAGTGTCAAGCATTAGCACTCAGCCTGGGCTTTTGGTGGGTTCTTAGGGTGGGGTAAGTATTTTAGGTGATCTGTGTCCTCCTGTTATACAACAGTTTGGAAACTTTGTGTTCATTTGGATCCTCTGAAACCTGCAGCACAGCCTGTGTTTTGTCTTCTGACTGATTTCCCATTACCAGGTGGCTCTCAAATTGTCAACAAGTTTCTGAGAGCTGTTGGCAGGCAGCCTGTTTTCCCAAAGAATTTGGGCTTGTATGTGAAGTTGTCTAAGATTTCCTTAGTCTTGCAAACATTTAGCTATCCATATGAATGGCCACACCTGAGTATATCAGATTACAAAGGCACTTAAAATTTTCTCCGATCAATTGTTCAATATTTAAAAAAATCTCCTTATGTAAAGGATATGGCCAACTAGTAACTTGTTTGCAAATAGCTCTTTATATATATATTTTGCAGCAGTCCTTTAAAATACAGAATGCTTATTTTTTTCAGCTGTCTGGCCAGACTTGAGACAGAGAAGTGAAGTCACTTTCCCAGAGCCACTGGAAGATATTATGTCAGTGCTGGAATGATATCTGTGAAAGATACTTATCCCAGCTTCTCTCTCAGCTTAGTTATTTTTGTAACAATTGTATATACTATAAACACGATCACTATGGATACCTCTGTGTTATTGCTTATAGGGCATCAGGAACTCAAGCTAGCAATGAAATAATTTGATCCGTTCCCGAAATTTCTTGAAGTTAAAACCGAGTGTCGTAACTTAATAATACAAAAAGGGACAAAAGGAGGGTTATGGATATTTCTAAAAGTATTTCTATGCTAATGTTCATGAGTATTAATTTGAACTGTGAAATATGCTTTTTAAATGTTTCACTTTGTTGTTTTTCTTGAGTAAGCAAAGCTTTACAAAGTAAACAAGTTAGTTTTGGTTTGTGGTTCCCAGGGTCCTTTTCCTTGGCACTCTATGCCTCCCCTGAAGGTAGGTGAGTGACTGGGGGCAGCTGGAGAGCAGCTCTGCCAGCATCTCCCCTGTGCCTGTAGGAGCACAGCCTACTCTGCAGGAGAGAGTGGTGCTGGGCTTTCTCCCGTCTCTAGCAAAGAGAGCAGGGCAGTCAGGGCTGCTCTGTGCTCAGACAGAGCTCGCAGTGTTCAAGCCGTCAGTGCATTGTATCTTCACCTGCCTCTGAATAGAGACCCTGCTTTGGGTCCCCCCCTTTTCTCCCATCTGCACTACCTGAGAGCAGATGAGGCCTGGCCACAGCATGTCACATTCAGTGTGTGTCAGCCCAAGAGATGGTTGTTCCCTAAAGCAATTAAAATCTGCATGGAGAGGGGCAATTTCCTGCTGCTTCCTCATTGGAAAACAAGTGCAGTAGATCACTAACTGATCGTATGGCTCCCTGCAGCTATGAAGAGAAGGAAAAGGATCATCTCCTAAAGTAGTATGAAAAAAGAAATTGATGTTGATTTCTCTGTTTGAATCACCAAGCCTTTATTGGTTTTGGTTGAGAAGTGTATTAGTTGTTTTCTGTTTTTGGTTTTGGGCAGAAGCAGTAATGTTTATGTTAGAGGCTACTCAAAATACTCAGATTTAAAACAACCTTTATTAAAAAACCCCAAACCACTGAAACCACTTGCTTTGTAAACATACAGGAATAAATGATCTTATATTTTCTTTTCAAATATTAAAATAATTACAAGCATTGGACTTTTCCCCAGCGTATACAAGCTTCCATTTCATTAAGTCTCTAGGCTCTTGTCCATTTTATCTTCTAAGCCACACTTGATTTTTCTCTGACAGCAGATGGCTTAACCATTCCTGAAAATCCCATGGGAGTATGAAACATATTTGGAGAATTCTGTTTAGCCTAATACTAGAATTTTTCTGATGCCCTAGTAGTAGTCCAGCTTTTTAGCCCCATGGTCAAATTAAAAAAATTCTTTCCAACCTCCCGAGATAAGCTGATAAAATGTTTAATATTTGTACAGTCATTGCATACTGGGTTTAACACCCTTTTCAGAACTATAGCTTGTCCTACTTTCACTGTCAAACTAGTCCCAGTTTGGCATTCCTCTCTAGAAAAGGAATGATATGACACAGGGATTTAGTGTTGCTTTGGGCCTTGCCAGTGATTGAAAAATATGTACCCTGGCTATTTGCAGAGGATACGTGATAAGAGCATGGGTAAAAATCTCTCTGCTTGAGTATGTTTAAGTAGAGATTAAGAATTTAGTGATGACTGACAACAATTGTTTGCTTTCCTCACCAGTGGTCACTGTCTTGGTCGTGCTGTACATATTTAAAATATCTACTTAAATGTATTATAAAATACTCTTTTTGACATTTCTCATGAGAGAAGAAAAAGAGAAGAGGGAGTCTTCACACTGCTGAGCCATGCTCAGAATAATGGCAGCGAAGAAGTATGGGAAAAATAACAAGTAACAACCTTATGTTTCACTGTGCCATTCTTTACATCCAACCCCTGCTCTTAATCCCTGCTTGATGCATCTAATTTGTTTGGCACCTTTCCTTTGCCTGGGAGGCCAAACAAGAGCTACCTGCACAGATGACACCAGGGTTGTTTCTTGGCCAACTGGCAGAGGACCACCGTGATGGAGCAGCTGACTGTATCCTCTGGTCTCCCACCCCTTCTCCCTAGACTAAATATGTCATTTTTTTAACACCTGCTGCCTCTGCCAAATTTAATGACCGTGTTTGTGTTGGCAGCTTTACTTGTTTGAAAAAAACCCATCCATTTTGTGTGGCACTGAAGAGCTGAGGGTTTATATTTCCTGTGTCTGAATTTAATTTGCTCTAAAATGGAATACCAGAGCTTTGCCCTTCTGAGATTTGTGTTGTCATCTTAAAGGTCATACTCACTTTGTACACAATGAAGTCAAGGTCCTTTTTCCTTTTTGAAGGTGTCCCCGAGCTTCAGGAGGCAGCGGTTCTTCACCTGCAGGTCTGTAGGTTTACAGCAGCGTGTTGTCTCTCTAGAGCAACTGAACTGAGGGAGAAGACTGTGGTGCTGCTCCTTAGAATCCCCAGCACTAGCCGTATTTTGAGACCCTTTGCTATTTGGTGTCAAATTGTTTAAAAAACTCAACTCAAGCTTTTGTTCATTTTTTTTTAAGTTATCCAGGCTTTAGGTGAACATCTTAAATTAAGACAACAAGTTATTGCCACTGCTACAGTCTACTTCAAGAGATTCTATGCCAGGTAGGACTGTTTACTATGATGGTACAAGAATAAAACATTTGCTAGGCACATTTTGGTAGCCCTTTAAAAATGCAGTTCTTTATTAAAAACAGTGCC